TATATAAATTTAGTAATTACGCAAATATATTGTAGATACACTTTAATATTTGCTATGTATCCAAATGTATCCCTAATGCATCTGTTTCAATACGCAATCTTAAGCGAAGGATAGTTTCAGCCATAATCGACTCATAACAACCACACCTACGTTAGTGATGTAGTTATATAAATCGAAATTATAATAGCGGCTTTGTTCGTGCGACGAAGGCAGCACACGCTTTTGACGGCACATAGGTCAAGCTGGCTCAAAAACCATCATCTATTGTTGTAATCGATCGCGGTTCTTCTTTTATGGAACAACACGCACTTATTCAACAGACGGCGCTGAAGCCCGAGCTATCAGCGGCAGTATGTATACACGTTCGGAGAAAGAGTCCGCTAATCGGATCGATCTGTAAAAAAGCAATCATATGAAAATCAGTCAACGCTCTATTTGTCCTACTGGATTAAATTCAAACAAATGCAGGCTACTGAAAGTAGAAAATTAGGAAAAGTGTACTAAATTAACAGAAAAAAAAACTGCTGTAACATTATTCAGAAATTTCTTCGAGGTGCAAGCGTCAACATCGACATAACAACTTCAAAAACCTAACATTAGTATGTGGCTTTCATCAACACTCGATACATAATTACGCTAATGTTGTGAACTTGTCGCATCTTAAAGTTTGCAAAACCTTGCACAAAGAGGGTTCGGAGCACTCAATGGACTGTTGTTTTTACGGCTACCCTAGATAATATAATGGTCGGGCGCCGTTCCTAATTAAAAAAAATAAAAGCATTTGAGACTGGCTATCTTTGGCGTTTGCCGTGAAAAAATAACGATGTGCAAATGTTGACAATAGCCTGCGTGCAGACTCGTATTTATAGATAATAGTTTTTCAAAAAGCCGCCGTTTAGGAGTCAACATAGAAGCACAGCGTGAGCAGTATTTTTTTTTTTTTTATATAGGAAGAAATTAATTAGTTTTTCTGGTGTATTTTAGCTAAAATTGGAAACAATTCTCTGTATGAATTATATTTAAAGAAAATTGCTAATAGCGCCAGCTAGAAGAGAAACAAAAAATAGGCCTTAACGCTGAAAAGCATTATATATCCATCAAATATGCTCGTGTCGTAAATAGTACTTAGATAAAACACACATCGAAAGTAAATGATAGCGCAAAATTGCTCAACGTATAGCTCGGCTGTGCGCAACACGAATGAATACGAGCTAACTTGCTTTTCATGCTTGAAAGCTATTCTGAATGTAGTTTACCCCTAATCCTTTCCATAATCCAATTATGTAACGAAGTGTTCTGGAAGGATAAAACTATTGTATGATATTGAACTCCAATTCCAGGAAACGAGTAATGATAGACTTAATATAAAGAAACTTAATTTTTTTCTTTTTGTTTTTGTAGCCGAACCTTGCGAATAGTGCCTCTCAACTTGCAACTCTGAAGTCCTAGTGGAACCTACTTCAAAACGCATAATTTCTATAGAACCTATAAAGTACTTTTTTTTTTCGGTAGAACCTGTATGCGAATAGACCACAAACAACGACCAAAGCCAGATCCGTAGTACCGTATTAGAACAGACTAAACACGGGCAAAAACACTATAATTTGCAGCTATATATATATATATAGCGGCAATGATGTCTGATTAACAGCTAGCCGGTATTCCTATGCCAAAAGCTTCAGTGATGAACGCGCGATCTCGAAAAATCGCCAAATTATTACCAACTTGGAAAGCGTAAAGTCTTTCAATGGGAGCGACAGAATAGTTCACGCGTGGATACAAATGGAACTTTATATGCCCAAACAAACGTGGATGTAGTATCGTGTTGGCAAGCATAATAGTTCCTTCTCTAGAGCTCTGATATTTAATTCATTTTCTCAGTTTTGTGATGTAGTCTGAAATGAAAACTGCGTAATAAAATACTGCGTGCTAAGTATTGGTTTAGCTGCTTCGTAGTAGTTTAGTAATATTTCAGTACTACTGTCTTTATCTATCTTACCACAATTACTGCTTTTGTTCATTTTACTCTTGCATATATATATGAATATAATTTTTAGTAAGACACTCAATAAACATAGGTTTTGACTTATTAGTTCCTCTTATAACACTAAACCTGCTGCTATCGCCCCATTGGACCATTTGCAAATTATTGCAGCCAGTTCACATATTTTAGCGTTATCGCATCGTCATTGAACTTTATGCCGGCGGAAGTTGACGTTCAGTTATAAAAACAAAAACTTTTTTTAAGAACCAGCCGTTTCCACCACGTACGGTAATAATTAGTATACGACAAATGCCGGTAGGTTTAATATTAAAAAAAAAAAAAGAAGAAGTACATAATACTACCGAATTTTTCCACCAATTGTCCCACAGAACGCCACTTAATGCTAAAATACATCTCACATATCTTGTAAAACTTTAGCATTATCAGATGTTTGATAAAAAAAAAAATTAACTGCGTTGATCTGTGTTGGCATCGTTCAGCGTTTGACACGCCGACGGCTTCCGAGACTTAGGCGTTGGGTGGTGCGTTATCTTCTTCGTCGGAGGCTGTCCTAACTAATATTGCTCGTTCGTAGTTGGACTACGTTACGTCATTTTATTTAGCGGCGGCGTCTGCTGCTGATACTACGGTCCCAGTCGCATCACAGCGGCCCTGCTACTGGAGCTACTACCATCATTTCGGTTCTGTCCCTTGAAAGGTAGGTCCTTGCTATAATGTTTCCGCAAGCTTCGCCTGGCGATTCCCAGGAGGCGCCACTGAAGCGATTGTTGTTTTGCTTGACAACTCCTTGATATTGCCTTGCCAACGAATCATCTAACCTCCCAGCCATTAGTAGCAGCAACAGTTTCAACCACTGGATCGAAGCAGTGGAAGCAAAGCCAGTGCAATGGAGGGCTTAACTTAGCAAAAGCCAACTTTCGACGTTTGGACGGACGCTGCTTGGTCTGCCGCTGCTGCCCAGGGCCGATAACAGCGACAACGATGAAAAGCAGAGGCAGCTGGGGTAACAGAAAAAAGGACCAGAATTTAGGAACTCTTGTGTTTCGTCTGCTACGTCTGTTGTTTTTAATCGCGCCTGTTAGTGTCGTATTATTGTTGTGCATAAATAATTTTTGGTTGAAAAATGTATGCTTCTAAAGCAAAAACTGTCGCCGGGTATCGTCAGACTTAGTCGCGTATTATATACGTTCGTTTGATTTAATTGCTTATATATTATTGAAAACATTATTGATGATTTGATTTTATGTATTAGGTAATAGATGGTTATGTAGAGAAGTATGTTCGCTTGTTTTCACTGTAAGCCTTTTATTTGTTCATTATGTTTTGGATAAAATTAACTATTCGATAGAATAAAAATGACGAATATGGCAAGGTTGTGAAGGACTTTTTTTTTCTATAATAGTGTAAGATAGTTAACGACCGACATCTTTTCCATGTGCTGGGTTCGATGAAATTTATACATACCCTGGAAATCCTAAAGTATAGGTCACCTGCGGAACCTTTATACCTCTTTTTATGGAGGGCTGATAAAAAGCAACGTTAGTTACAATATATAAGGCATGCCCTTTCTGTTCGTCTCAGCAAATGTACGTAGAAAGGCTCGAGTTAAACCTTCAGTAATTAAACGGATATTCGCAATATAATTTTCTATCGGGGTTAGTAATCAGTTGAATAGTGACATTGAGGAATATAAATTAACCAGCAAAAGTCAAGTGTCTATGATGGTACCAGATAAATTCGAAGTCACAATACCGCATAAGTGCTTTCAGCAATCTTGTAATTGTAGGAGAAATAGGTGATTCACACTCCAAAAGCACTCGTACTCTATAACGGGCTTTGAAAATTATGAAAATAGGCCCCTTTGAGGTATATGGTACTGTATCTGACAAAAATTGCCGTGGTTCACCGGTGGGCTTCATCTTGAGCACACTTGTTGTCTTTTTGGTCGCTGGAACCGAAGTCTGTTTTTCAATAGTAGACCGGTTATGTATCTATGCATTGAATTAATATATAAAGAGTGATCTACCCTTATGTATGCATTGAATATTGTTTCTTGATCCCGGCTAAATTTTGCAAGTGCTTGGATATTCCATTTTGCTAGCTCGTTAGCGGAATATTAGGTGGGTTGGTCCGTGATGGTGCAGTAGCGCTTTTGTTTCATGAACTTAGAAGCATATAAGGTAGTCAAAGTTCGAGACGAGGCGATGACACACTTTCGCACCACTTGGGTAAAGGGGTCCATCGTCCGAAGCAATAGTTTAAAAAAACAAGAAACGACGGCAGTATCAGGCATAAAACTCGAAACACCCGTGCAACGGTGTACAGTTCATATACATATTACATCTATTTCAAGTCTTTAGGAAAAGGTGCTTCGTAATTTTTCGATCTGACCTTATTCTTGACAACGGTTTCAGGGGTGCTTCAGGCATCTCAGCGGGCAGGCATCCCACCAACGATTCGTATCGTACCGAACCACTGTCTTTTATCTATACCAGTCAATAAATTGAACAAATATGTCGATTAAAAACCATTAATAAACACAAATAGCTGTCGGGATAAATTATTGATTTATTTTAAATAGAAAAAAGTGCATTTGAAAGTCTAGAATCTAGAAATAATTGTAAATATATACCTTTATGTTTTTTTGGTTCCCAATTGGATACCCATTGTTGTTTAAAGGATCTTTTAAATAAATAAAACTATCTGGTGTTATTGTTTAATCTACACCTACATATCTATTATGTTATTGTTATATATACCATATATATTGTTATATATATGTTATTGGTATATTTACCTATTACGCAGGCCAATCAGGATCAGTAAAAAATTACCAAATAGTTGTTTTTTTTTTCGTAATGTATCACTGTATTTATTTTATTTATATTTTCATTTTTTGTTATCGTCGTCTTCTTTCATTTGTATTTAAACTCTTCACTATGTTTAGTCTGCCATATCCTGCCTCGCCGTCATCGTCACCATTCAATCATATCTTGCCGCGTTATTTCTTTAATCATCTATTTATTATTACTTGCCAGTATCTCTTAACCGTGGATCCGCCAAAGAGGTTCACCGCTACACTCCGCTCACTTTGGTCTATACCAAGTGAATTCGCTTTTTGCTTTTCGTTATCATTTTTTTCGTTTTCTTTGCCGGCCAGCGAGAAAATACCTAATATTTACCCAAATCTCTCTTTCTGTCTGTGTTCGTCGTATGCTGAATGCGCCCCTCCCGTAGAGCTTACCCCATTTATATTCACGCTTTTTGCACTCACACACACACACACAAACACTCACGCATACACACACAAGCATACACAAACGCACGCACGCACGCACACACAGACACACACGGAGACATTGTTGTACCACTGTTGAAGTGGTAGTTGTCCCTAATCAGCAACCCGCTAGCGTCTGGGTAGTTTCCCAGAGAGGTCTCTATTATCAGAACGCAATTCTCCGAACTGACCCTATTATGTTATCGGCATTTTTCATTCTTTGCATTTATATTCTGCTCGCCAGGGTTCCTTATGCACCGACTGCTACGATTAATTATATTCATTGCGCGTCGGCACGGCTTGAAAATCGCTCACTGCCATTGCTTTCGCCGCTCGTCGGCTAGTGAAATTGCCCTGCCTATGTTCTTCCTAGCGACGTCTTGTCCCATTATTATTGTTATAACTAGTATATAATGTAATACTAATAATATAGTTACTGTTGTTATTATTGTTCTTTCATAAGATCCTTCATCTAGGATTCGATGATGTTGTGCCGTCACTTTTCTGCTACTGTCATCTTAAATAGTAATAGTGTCGTCATCAGCGTCATTTATTACTCGTCATATTCAATGTCATTATCAGTAGTAGTATTTTTATTCCTTTTGCTCTGATTAGGTCTACGCCAATCCGCTTAGGCCATCCTAAATATATTGCCGTTGATGTCATTTGGCCTAATGCAACCCGCGCTGTCCTTGCTCATTGTGTAGTACTAATTATTATGATTGATATCTATTACACTAGCAGTAATAATTATTTTCATTATCGTTACAAAAAAGCAAAAAATGAATTGGGTGTTTTTGTCGTTTATTTTACTCAACTATTACTCAGTTGCTACGATGTATGGGAATTCTGTACAGGTTAGAGGGGCTCGTGCTCACCGAGTTCTTCATGTTGCCGACCGCGCAACAACCCTACGGTCGTACGGCGCTTGGATGTGGCCCCCTAACGTCTACATTATTACAGCGTACTGTGATTTTATATATATATATATATATATATATATATATATATAGCTTTCCAATCATATCCAAACATGTTGCTCATTTATACCATTTTATAATCATAGTTATCTCCAATATCAAGCCATCCATAGTCGCATATGTATTTCCTTTCATATGCCGCATTATCATTATTTGCAACGTTGTTGATATTTAGTCTACTTTTATATATATATATATATCTATGTATATTGTATGTATATATATCGGTCGAGTTAATCGTGTGATGTGTATGCACAAGGAAAGGGACCTCCGACCGCGGTGGACCGCGCACACCAAGTGGACGGATACGCAATGTAGATCTTTTGCTCTCGTTTGTTGCTTCTTCTATAAAAGATTTGAGGGTCAGATTCTGATCCACGTCTGCAACAGCTGGCTGCTGGCTTATCAGGACCTGCAGGCCTTTTCTAGAAGAAAACCTGACAATAACGATTAAACGGATTAGGGTTATGTAAGGGTTTAGGCGCGTCGCCGTCGGAGGTTTGCTTCAAGAGACAAACGAAAGCGTTCGGGCCGGGCGCCATCAACCGTTGGTGAACACCTTGAGAAAGACATCGCCAAGATTTCAAAATTGGAATGAGGATGGTCAATCGATGCTATTTCCCACGCCTAGACCCTTAGTAGGGTTTTGCCAACTTCATCGTGCCCCATTTTCCAATTTCGTTACTTTCCAATTAGAGTAGAAAAAAAAACGTCGACTTGTCAAATGTTCACTTTTACTTATTTAAGATTAATGTTCATGGAGAGATACATACGCCAAAGGGTTTGCCGCCGTGGCATTTCAGATTCTCAACGGTTCGTCACAGAGGTTTTTCTGTTCTTGGTACAAACATCTTATTGCAGCTGTATGATTGCTAACCTCCCGGTTACCGTTTCATTGATATTCAACCTATCAACAACTTTTACGTTTCTGTGCCTGCCCGTACGTTTACGCGAGGTCCATGTGGACTATGTTTTTTATTCTTGTCAACCGTTTAGTCAATTATGATAAAAAAAAAAAAAAAAAAAAACGTCCCGTCGTCGCCAAATCCTATTTCAATGTTCGTTATCTACTTAGAAATACTTCATTCGATAGAAATAGACAATTTTTTGCGTCAAATTCACAATACGTTTAGTAGGAAACTTCAAAAATGTCATCACGTTTCTCGCTGTGAGGAGGGAAATCGTACTTTTTTGCTGATGGCGCACTCAGGACACTGACCGAACTGGAAGCCAATAGATGTAGACAATCCTTTTTACAAAATAGACGTGTATCAAATCGTTACTTTTGGTGTAACATAGGTATTTATAGTGGTGTTTTTTTACATTTTTTTTTTTAAAATCCCATCCCTGACATAAATCGAGTATCTGCAGAGTGACCGTACACACAAATGATTTGATACCACACTGACATTGTTCTGGTTAGAGGGAGATCATATAGAGAGCTCCGACAGACCTCTCAATGAATGGGCTCCGCGTACCTTGTAGGCCATGTTCGAAAAAAGCTTGAACACTTAAATCATCCTAATAGTGATAAGCGTTTTCCGACAGATCCCTGAGAAATGCCATACTTGCCGGTTTTGATATCGTCTCTTTTCGCGGTAAAGTTGTTTTCTTTTTGTTGTTCCTTACTTTTTGCCAGTACGCAAATGCTTTTCATGGGTCTTTTATTATTTTTCGATCAATTAGTCACGATTTGATTTACGGGTTGTATATATATATAGAGAGAGAGAGAGAGAAGAGAGAGAGAGAGAGAGAGAGAGAGAGAGAGAGAGAGAGCGTTATATTACAATAATGGTACATTCGCTTCTGGAGCGGATTCGGTGGGAACAGCGTCATGTATCGTATAATATAATAAACATCATAGTGACAGCCGGCGCCAAAGGGTTTGGAAAAATGTACAATTTGTGTTCTCTTCATTTTTGAGAAAGGTTCTTCTTGTACGCATCGGATAAATAGTAAGAGGGCAAACAATAAATATTTATATATCTATTTACGTTTGTGTATGTCTTATGTATGCATTGATGTCCTCACTTCATGATACTTCTCGATCATATATATATATATATATAATCTTGAAGTTACTAATCCACTACATGGTTACCATTGTAGGGTCTGATCATTCAACTGATTCTAGCGTATGTATATATACCGCAATCAGAGCATGTTTTCTTTCAGCAAAAATGACTCTATATACTCGGAGGTATTTCGAAGGGAGGGTAGGGGTATGTATTATGTTTTGTTGTTGTTGTTGTTGTTGTTGCACACACACACTGCTATAGATTGTATCTTGACGTATTTAGTCGCATTTTTCCCTGTGTCGCGTTTGAGTTGGAATAGCGAGATTATTTCTTATGCCTATGCACAGCGTTCAGTGATGATATATTTGTTTCACCGTGCTTTTGAATGCTTGTATGTAAAGTTCTGTAGAAATAGCTCATCGAATAGGGATCGTCTCGATGTGCGGGGGATCCCATCGAAGGACGACAGATGGGGCAAAGAAACCTCTGGGGAGGCAGATAATTCACAAGAGGTTTATATATTTACATAATAATACATCCGGACTGCGTGCGGACATCAGACATAAATCACACATTGTGTCGTGGTTGAGAACGTGGCACAGGATCACGTCCTCCATCCCTATGTCCACTCGGTTGTACGCACCTTTGATGGAGACGATTGATTTCAATAATAATAATGAATATAATTATAATATTATATATCGAAATGGCCGACGCCGCCGCTGCCGTGCACTATTTATAGACCTATTATATAATATAATCTGTTTGCCTCGTTTCGCTTCTTACGACGCGTCCGCTTTCAACCAAAAGGGAAACGAACGTTTTTAATGGCTCCTTTAAACGATACACCCGTCGCCATACCTCCTTCCAGCGTAGCGGCGGCGGCGGCGGCGGGGGGTTTAGAAGACCAGCTGTTTTATTATTTACCATCAACTAACGATAGGTTTCTGGCTCACAAGTTAGCTTCCTCGTGCAATCGGGCTGACCCGGTCTGAATACAATGGTACTGACCTCACGCGAGCCGATATTCCCTCTGAGCGTTCGGGTGTTTTTAACAGTTGTAGAGTTGTGTGAGGCGCGTTCTTATGTCAGATAGATCGTCTCCTAATCGTGTTTATTATCACCATCATGGCGTACTGGTGTTGTTAGTTATTATGAATAATAGTAATAATAATGATAATCGTAGTGATAATTATTATTATAGTTACTACTGTTCGCTTATCTATATGCTGGCTGCATTTTTGGTTGATGTTACAGTCAATGCAGGGTCTGACCACTAACCAAATCTTTATCGAATTTCTATCAGCGGTACAATCTTTCTCTTGACATAGTTATATACATTAGAGGTGATAAGAGATTTACGCGTTCTGCATCTTCCCGGCGTCACATTCTGTTGTTTCTCTAGTAAGTTTTTTGCTGGTACTATCTCGCCCGTAACATGGTTGTTTGTGTTAACATTGCAGCTTTGACTGAGGCTGTTTTGTTTTTTTCTTTTTTTTTTTTTTGCTGTGATTCTGTTATTGTGGGTTGTTGCCTTTCGAATACATAAAGAACATTTAAAGTAGAAATTATAACGATGCAGAAAATTGTAGTATATAAAATTTTTACAGTTATAATATAAGGATTTCTCGTACTGCAAATATGTAATCGACTGTCTCTAGATTTTGAAAGGAAGTACCTCACAGCGTAGGTTATATGGACGGGAATCGATTCTGTTCCTATACAGAAACTAACCAGTGGTAAAATGCAAGCTCTGAACGCCTTATACGAGCTTAGAGTTAAAATAGACATAACATTTGCAAGGAAAATGATATTTTGAGGGATGTGTGCCCTTGTGATGTGGATCGTGTGACTGTATGAACTGTTGGAGTGTACGTGAATTGGCGCAGGGCCTTCTGATTCGATGGTTCCTCGTGCAGATAAGCCCAAACGCTTTATCAGCTGGTTCAATCTATCGGCGAGTTGTTTTTGTTCTGCTGCTACTTCTGCTGCTGCTGCTGCTGCTGCTGCTGCTGTTATCCTTGGTTGACGTCGCTGCTGCTGTTGAAGCTGGCCGTTGGGTCACTTTCGCGCGGCTCTCTTTGTCGTCACTCTGGCAACAATGCACTCCTGTGTCGAAATAATCGTGCACGTTATTATTGTTGCGATTATTGTTTCTCTTGAAGCTATAGCTGCTGCTTTAGGATTGAGCACCAGCCTCGGCCGTTCCCTGGTGTCCCGGTTGCAAGTAGACCGATATCATGTCCCTGAGGTCCGGACCGTTTTGGTATCGACGGGCAGTGACGATACCTGCGGCGGACGCCATACCCCCACTGAGGTCTAGCCCGACCGAACTGCCGGGTTGGCCTGCGCCTGGCGCGACCATTGGGCCTGCAGCGGCTGGCGATCCCGGCTGAGCTGCGTGGCCGCCAGACGGTACTGAGCCAGGCGTCGAGGGCGGCGCCACCGCACTCCTGCCGTTGAGACCAGCGCCTAGACCAGGCAGACTCGAGGCGAGGTTGGAGCCGAGGTTGAGACCAAGGTTCGAGTTTATATTACCGGACAAGGACCCGGAAGCTCCCGGAAGTCCGGAGAGTCCGGACAGCGCCGAAGAGCTTCCAGAGAGGTTGACTGAACCTGGAGTGGAGCCGGGCGAACCGTTGGGCGTGGCAGCACCGCTATCGTCACTCCGCACGCTCTGCTGACCCGGTGTACCGGGCTGAGCCGAATAGCCGAAACCGTAGCCGGGGTAAGTGTACTGGTCATAGCGCTGGTAGAGGGGGTTCATCTGCGATTGCTGGTACATCGACACGTTGTAGAAATCGCTAGCCAAGGGATAGCCCTGTGGAGTGTACGAACCCACGGAGGAGTATAAGTCGCGCGTGGAGTCTGCGAGGGGCATGATGTTGTTCTGTATTCCCGGGAGCCGGTTAGCCTGAAGCTGGTTACGCTGCAGGAGTCCCGCCGAATCGGTAGGACCCTGGCCTACCGAGGGCGCTGTTGGAGCGGCATACTTCTCCTTTTTCATCAACGTCTTTGTTTTTCTCCTTGGTCGGTATTTATAATCCGGATGTTCCTTCATGTGGACGGCTCGCAGACGCTTCGCCTCGTCGATGAAAGGTCTCTTCTCTGCCTCGGACAGCAGCTTCCACTCGGCACCCAGTCTTCGCGAAATTTCGGAATTGTGCATCTTCGGGTTCTCCTGGGCCATTTTCCTGCGTTGGCCGCGCGACCACACCATAAACGCGTTCATAGGCCGCCGCACCCGGTCCGCGTCCTTTTTACTGCTGGGCCGCTGTGCCGCCTGGCCGCCGGGCTGGTACGAACTTCTGGACATGAAATCCTGACCCAGGTGTGTCTGACTCGGTGAACTCGGAGAAGGCTGGCCGATCTGCTTTAGCGCCTCGGCGGTCGACTCGGTGATGCCGAAGAACTGCTGCTCGAAAAACTGCTGCCGCGACTGCTCAAAGTCCGGTTTGAACTCCGTCTTAAACTCCGTTTTCACTGTCTGAGCGGACGATGGCCTATCGGCCGGAGGTAGGCCCCGCTCAGCACTCATAAGGCTTAGCCGGTCCAAAGGTTGACCTCCTTGGCCCATCCCGAGGCCAGGTATCGTACCGGGTAGGCCTCCTGCTAGTGATCCCGGGGCAAGGCCTGCTCCCTGGCGGTGTTCCGGTGTTTGACGTAGGTCATCGGCGTGCATATCCGAAGCGTCGGGCGCGACTCGAGGCGACCTCGTTCCTCGTTCATAGTAGTCCCGATGGGGCGAACCACATGAACCACCGTTCGCACAATACTGGCAATGACATGCACCTGATGCATCGTGGCCCGGAGCTGCTGGTGGCCACTGTTGCCAAGCGGGTGGACTCGATGTTGACGCCATAACGTCGAAAAATGGCGTAGAACGTTCACTGGCGGCGCACTGGTCACCGAGGTGGCGATGTTTAGACGCGCATCTCAGGAAGCAGTCACGAAACAACGGGTAACTAGTTCACACTCGATTAGATGAATCGTTTGCTAATTAGTGTCCATAAATAGTCTGCAGTCGTTTCGGCCAGCTCCACAGTCACTTTGGCTGGGTGCGTTAAAATGCGCCGTGATGTTTTTCAGTTCGATCGTATGCCTTCGAACGATCTCCACAACAACCACACGAGTGCACGCCCTTAATTTTCGACGTAAAAGTCAAACATGGAAGACACATTCATAGAGATGCCATTCGATCCTCGTTTCTCTTGATTTTCATTCGAGGTCACTGAAGGACGATGACCACTTAGATCGACTCTGTATAAGGGAGGCACTGCTCGGGTGACATTCGAGGTGTACTACGCATCGCTGAGTTGAAACAGGCTGAAACGTTCTGTTTTCCCGCGTTTTTTTTGTCTTGCATTTCCACAGGAGAAATCCGCTTTATTTCTATTTCTACTTCATCTTAATCTTTTCGAACTCTGACTTTGAGATAAACGCCAAATGGAGATTGGGAACCTTAGATAGACTAGATATCTCCGTGGCCACTGAGCCGTTGATGATCGGCCGCTCCCGAGGTCCTAACTCTGGGGGAGGGGATGGGGAGTCAGGATCTTCGGGAACGACTTCTAGCGACTAACTTCTCTCTCTTTCTTTCTTTTTCAGTGTTTCTATCTGCTTGTGCTCTCAACTGAGGGGACTGTTTGCTTCAGTAGTCCTTTGTAGTAGTGGTGATCGTGGTAGAAGTCTATTGCCGCTCTATGTCCGCTCCCTCCGCCGCTTCGCTAGAGCTGAGTGGCTCCAAGAATGAAGTGATGTGCGCGAGGGTTTCAGCCGAGTTTTTGTCGAACTTGCTTCGGGTAAATAGAACACTGCTTCTGGTGGTTCAATTCTGCTTTTAGCTCACTCACTCCGTCCACCACGGGCCTTCCTCCTTCGGTGGCGATGGGTGAAGACACAGCAGCCGCTACAGCCTCTGCGGCTGAGGCTAAGAGCGATAGACTTCGCCTAGCCGAACGTTTGTCTCTATCGGAGTGCGCGACTCTTAGCCTATCGTTGTCTGCGTGAGTGTCGGTGAGTACCGACGTGTGTGAGTGTGCCGAGATGGGGTCGACTAAATTGATTCCCGGGTTTCGTCGCCAGGGGAAGACTATCCCACTCCCTTAGCTACTCAACTGTCGACACCGCTCGTGGAGTTCGCCAGCGCGACCGGCACCACAAGCGGTAGGCAGTCCTGAAGCGCAGGCTCGCTGGCAAGGACCGAGGTGAAAACCAGCAGCAGCAGCAGCAGTAGTAGCAGCAGCAGCAGCAGCAGCAGCAGCAGCAGCAGCAACAGCAGTTTGCTTGCTTGCTTGCTGCTGTTGCAACGTCGAAGAAACACAGAACAGCTAGTTGCGCTTCTCACTCCAGGCTACCTTCTTTATTTGGCAACTGACTATTCTGTCGTACAACACACTAGTCGACGATTACCTACGAAGGTAGGCAGAAAGGTATGTGTCTATCCAGCCAGACAGTGCAGTGCCGCCACAGGATTCGCTTGGGGAGCAGAGCAAAGCTCGCTTGCCGCAAGCTGCAGCTCCGGCGTCAGCTACAGTCGCGATCCGGTCGAGGCAGTTAGGCAGTGCTTCTCACTCCGATCGTTCGCTCCTTCCACCCACTGGTGAGTCTTCGGGTCTTCAGGATCTTTTTTTCTCTCTCACTATTTTGCCTAGTCGGTCTGCTAGTGCCTGGCAGTTTTCCTACTTCTACTATCGTGTAGCTTTCTCTTGCCAGCACGTCGTTCGCCGCTGTTGGAGTTACCGTCGAGGATTTTTTTGTGCGCAACCGTCGTCGAGTGCCTGCGAGCGGTGGAGAGCCACTGGCAACAACAACGACGACGACGACGACGATGATGATGATCGAAGTAGCGGCAGTAACAGTGGCAGATCGGAACACCGCTAGCTAGAACTCTAGCCAATAAACTCAGTGACTGGCGGCACTGGTGACAGTGCGAGAGAGAAGACGATCACACGAGTGAGCAATGCGAAGCGCCGAGTGATCGCAGGCAGACTATCTGGGCTAGTCGTCGTGGTCGTAGTAGTGAGACACGAAGTAGTCCGGGACGGGAAGAGTGGATGATGAACGAATCGAATAGCTAGAAGCGGTAGGTACAACACGGGATGTCTGCGATCTCACGAGTCACAAGTACTATTACCAGGGCCCGATGATCTGGATCGAGCTGTCCAACTTCAGCTGGTCGAGGGTGATTAAAGCAGCTCGTTGAAGAGTTCTGGCGAAATGTTAGGGGGGTTTGATGACTGTGGTAGGAGGAGACGACGGGAGGACTTGAAGGGAAGGGGGCTGAGTAAGAGGATAATCGAGCGAATAAGATCGTTGTTGGGGGTATTGCGTTGCTGCTGCTGTTGTTGTTGTTGTTCTTCTTCTTCTCGTCGTCGTCGCTGTTGTCGTCGTCGTCGTCGTAATCGGTCTGGGTGGCCTAATAAGCTGCTGCCAAACCCGCCGAAACCGAACGGAACAACGGGCGCTGTTCTTGCGATTGGCGGCGAACTAGACTATTTCACTCTGCTTAGAGTATGCGCTCCCTCCGAATTCAAGAGCAGATTAGCGCGTCCGAGTACCACAGCACCACTTAATCTTCAGCAACAGTGTGTCACTGGCCCCTCCATCCACTGGGGTGGTGTAACTTTAATCCGCCTTGGATAAGCGCCCGATTCGAACTGGTTCGGATCTTCATTCGAGGACTGATGAAGCGTTGCGGTTTCGGTAATGCGGTTACGATATTGAGGTCGTCACACGATTGTGGTTAGCGAGTTTACGCGATAATGAATAGCTGCCGCGGCATCAGGCCAATTGCAAATGTGAGCCCTCCGCACGCATTGTAGATAGTGTTTATAGAGAATGGGGGAAGGGGGAACAAATGCGTAAATCCGCGGACAATCTTCTTTCGAGGAAGCCGTTAGCCCCTTGACAGTTGATCTTTGATCGTGTTCAAACAAAGTCCTCGGAAGTGTCGTTTGCAGTCGTCGAATAGAGCAATTTGATGTGTTTTTTTTTCTCCCGTGCTTGTCGCTTGATTCGATCCAAGATCTCTGCTGTTCTTTCTGACTGAACCGATACGTGGGCGGCAATCTGTTTGTCACGTTTCCACCCCTTGACCGATAATAGGGGAGGTCGAACTCTTGTTGTGAACGTTACTGTTCTAAACACTGCTATGGACAGAGAAGATCTGCGGACGAATAGGACCTTCAAACACACACTTGTTTTTTAGACAGACGATCCTGCTGTGTTTCGTTTGTATCCGAGGCACAACCGAAGTTCACCACCAGGATGAACTACTTTTTTCACCACTTTCTTTATCACTGTCTACTTCTTCCTTACGAAATCTAGCTTAGGCACAGGCCTACCATTCACAGATGCGTCGCGTGCTTTCCGATGTTTTCGACGTATTCTAGTTCGCTGAATCGCTTGAGTTGCAGCTAGGTCATGGTGGAAATTTCCCTACTATTTCCCGACACCTTAACGCATCGCTTCGCGACGACCAACAACTGTTCTAGCAGTGAACAGCAGGGACACTCCGTTTCGAGTTGTCTCGTCGATGGCACGAAAATGTTAGAATTTTTCTCTCACACGTGATTCTCTGCCGCGACTCACCGACGTGGTGATGATCTTCTCTCACAAATGTCTAGGATATAGGTCTTCTACTTCTTCATCGGGTTCTCTCTAGTTGTGCACTCTACGATTCCTGCCGATGGTGAAATCGGCAAACAGTTTCCTGCGGCCGGAGCCTAGGGAAAACCGTTATCTCTGTTAGAAAACACTTAGGCGCCGGGAAAAGCTCCCCTCGCTGGCGCGGACCATTCAAACCGATGAATAGAGCGAATCTGAATAGATCTTTTCAAAAGGCGCGGCCGACAGCCGTTCACGTCCGGCCGAAGAACCGACGAAGGGCTAACACTCACTCGCCGCTGGCCAATGAGCGTCGCCGGTGGGCCCCTTGCGAGCGATCATTGGCTAGCCGGGTGAGGAGGAAGGGCGATCGGCGCGCGCCCTGGCGGTGGCCGCAGACAGCTCCTCGTTATTAAGGGCGGTCGGCAATGATTTTCCTCCGGACAACGGGAGAGGGGGTTAATTTTGCCGAGAAACTCTTAAGATAAGCGACAAGTAATTACGAGGGCGGTGGTGGTAGCAGCAGCAGCAGCAGCAGCAGCAGTAGTAGTAGTAGCGGTAGCGGTAGCAGTAGCAGTAGCAGTGGTAGAGTGGCAGCTGGCTCCACCAACGAAAGCAACGAGCTACTGCTGCTGCAACGGCAGCTGGAGCAGCTGTTATATTGGTATACAATGCAATTCACAAGTCACCCAACGAGGGAGCACCAGCCTGGAGCAAAGTGAGCTTCCAGAATGAATGAGCGGATCTGCTACTGCTTACCTCGTTTCAAACCAACGATTTACGTACTCTTTACACCGTTCTGTGCGCTATAGAATACACGAAACGACGCCTTGACCGCAAACGTACAGGGGCAAGCGGGGCGCTTAATCACGGTTCTAATCTAACGGGTGCGTAAGGGAGTTCCTGCTATTGGCTTAGCTCAACGGCGTAGGCATCTAGAGCTGAATGCAGCGAACCGTGAGTGTTGTGCCGTTGACAGAAAACGAACGATCTGGGAATGTTCTAAAAGCAAAAAGCAAAAGAAATAACGAAAAACACGACGAACACAGTAACATTGCACAATTGTCGTGGCTTCATCAATCCTCGAAACTTTCGAAGAGCGTTATATCGGCCCTGGTATCGGTTTGATATTCAATACATCTATCCGTGTGATATTTGTACGTATGATAAAAGTTAGTGTGGAAGAGATATAATAACTGTCCTTAATACGCGCCTAACCTGCAAACGACAGCAGCGTCGTATAGGGTTCAGCGTCGCAAGGGAAAAACAATTAAAATAGTAAACAATGGAGAGAGAGGCAAGAAAAGACAATGACTCAAATAGGCTAGTAAACGGAAAGTTGCGAAATGCGCTCGGCTCAATGCAATGTTGCCAAAAACACGGCGTCCGTTATACGAACCACCGCCCACCCTGCCAGCGACGTCCAGTATCGACGTTTCAAGCTAAGATGGTTGCGTCAACAGCGTCTACAGTTACCAGGCATGACGGGTTTGCCACAAGCTATTTCAATAGCCAACACCCAGAAAGATCTCGCTACGAAACGTCTTGTATCCGATGACCTGCACGTCTGAGAAAAACAGCCAGCATTTGATCGTAATAGCTTTTGGTCCTCGTCTAATCTTCGACGGTCTGACGATTACGAAGTCCAGCATTACGGGCCGTCATGGATAGGGTCCGTGGGCTACTAATATTATAAGAGTAATAGTGATGACGGCATTCGGCCGCAATGTTATAACGGTGTTGTGACGCTTTACAAAAGACTCGCCTTAACTGATTCTGCAATGTTGACCAAAGTTGCCACACTTTTCCTATTACCACCCGTTCATTCTCTTCACAACCCCAACAAAATTGCAAACTATATAGTCTTACAAGTGAGTCTACGACTTCACGCATGTACACAGGACTAATAGAGTTCCGAGGTGCATGGATCGCGAGGAATTGAGAACAGCCAGTGAGTGCTCTATTTTTGTCAATATTTCATCAATTAGAAAACTACTAGTTTTCAATGATTCTAGCAAAATGGCGTAATATCGGAACTTCTATCAAAGGCAGAGGAATGCCTTTGGAACCCAAAATAGCTTAAGTTAGAACTGCAGACGTTCCGCAAATCGTGTTTTATGTATTCGACCTTATGCATAGCAATTCGTACAAGATAAAATTGCTACCAGATGCCAACAAGGATCACGTGGTTAAAGGCCGAATGCGCGCATCTCAGGATTTTTTTGGCAATGAAGTCCAAACGGATTCAGGGCCAGAATCTATGAGTAAAGGTCGGCTAAGGACAAAGAACCTATTTAATACAGACAGACGGTTTATAAAGGCTTCTTGTTAACGGCAGTCGGACCCAATATGTAAGACAAAAAATACGATAGCATTCATGAATACGACTAGCATCGTCGTTGTTGCTATCAGGCTTTAGAAACGTGTTCTTACCTTATACTTCATTCTAGCCAAGTCCGGCAGTACTGCGGATATCAATGCAACTCAAACGTGTATGCCTTAGCTTTTTTTATGTTACTTGGTATTAATTAACTTCATGCAAATAGACGTCACCCTTCTGTCATCAAGTTACGATTCTGTTGGCCTGTCTTCGCGCGCTACATTCTATTGAACGTGTATCAAACGCTATTGGTCAGCATTATAGACAATCGTCACTGGTTCGACATTTAACCTTGCCCAAGTCGGCCCATTCCATTGCAAATTCTTCGCATTCATCTCACTGACCTTGCGGTGCCCCTAAATTACGCTGCTATTTCAGCTTGCCACTATTTCTACTTTTGCTGTTGCTCCAATTCAATGGTTAGGTCACTGCTACAACTTGAGATGATGATGGTGTCGTCTAATCTGGCAGATACAACAAAACCGTCTACCTAGCAGTTGGCAGGTCTACATCCGCTGCTGCGTCCGTCACCATTGTTGTGGAGCGGCACTGTTCTTAGTATCGCAGATGCTGAAACTGTCATCCGATAATTACGCTAGGATCTACGCCGGCATCGAGACAACTGTTACCTCTGCCCTGCTTCAGGCCGTTTAATTGGCGAATAGCCATTGATTTGCTTCATGCCGTTAAACACAGATGTGTTCATCTAAATGGCATAGAGTTTGCAGATTTTTTCCGTACAAGGTGGTTCTTGTTGTGTGGTGTCGTAGGCCAGCTGTATGGGCTGAAGGAAAACATTGCATCAATGACAGGCTCTGCGCGCGTTGAACACCGGAAGGCGATTTTGGCGTAACCACTCAGTTAGTACACAGTGTTAGGCGATTTCTGTCCTTTCTTCGATGTAAAAAGACGCTAACGACGCATCAGATGGATAGTTGTAATAATATTTAGGGCGCGGTCCTTTGTCGAAAAGGTACGGCTCATGTAACCTGCAGAGTGTCCCCGTTGGTGTGACCATCGGTTTATCTGTGTGATCGGCTTATCTCGAGTTTTTGCAGGCATTTTTTGCATAACAACCAAATGCCGCATTTATATTATTCTGTTATTATGTCGAAAGAACGTTAGATAAATTAGGTATAATCGTATAAGTAAGAAAGGCAAAATAGCTTCAAACTTGCTACCTCATCCGCCGTCGGTGTTTGAAGCCTGAAACCGATGCAAGTTTAACTGTAGGCAATGGCTTAAATGCGATTAGCCTTTATCCGTTTGCCAAGACAAATCATCTGCGTCCTCTTTATGGATAGGCCGACTCTCTTTCATGATCTTCTTTCATAGTCTTTTTCGTCAACACTCTCTGACGTTTCTTTGTCTTCTAATAGGCGCGTGACGCGACAATTTTAGCCACAATGCCAATTATATTTTGTGTATTTGCAGTCGGGCAGAAAAGCAGGAACATTTAGAGAACAAACGACCTTCGTAGACGCTGTCTACGAACTTCGCTGACAGACGAAGCAGTACTGCTACGTCTCGCGTTTTCGTACGATTCTCCAGCGCTGACGTCCGCTCCATTGCGGGTTTTGGCCTCCACGACTGTTTGACTGGGAACATACGACGAGTCTAGGCTGTAGGAGCGTAATCAGGCTGACGGGTCCATTATAGCCCAGCATAAAAACCCGGAAACGGCATTGTGCTGCGGAAAAATATGGCGGCTAAACAGCACACAACGGGGCCAACCAACGGCGACTAGAGTTGGGAAAAGGGACCTTTTCGGACAGAGCGTCTTCGGCAGATTTGCCCTTGCGTTCTGTTGAGGTCAAAGGTCGTGTAAAAGGCTTCTTTCACAGGTGAGAGTATCTTCGAATCCTTGTTGTGTGGCAGTCGAATTGTACCAAAGACCGATTCATTTCGAGGGAAAAGTGTCGATTTGAGCTTTCAGCACGCAAAAAGTAATTGAACACGCAATTTCCTGCTCCTGTTGAGGTATTGTACAGGTAGCTATATATAATATATTTATGTATATACGAGTGGTCAGATATTTTAGGAAAGGAATATCAACGGAATAGGAACGAATGTCTTGTCTCATAAAACCACTTGGAACGGGTACGTATGTGGTAAGGATGGTGGTCTTAATTATTTTATCATTGGGTTCCACGTTGCAGAATAATCATCTAAAATGTTTACCGGAGGCTGATTTATCATTATTATTATTATTATTATGTTATCATTGTTATGATAACTGCTGATACTGATCATGTTAGCTTTCTTACAAGAGGTCAAGCTCACTACATATGGAACGCGCACAGCAGACACAGCACGCCATCTGCGTCAATACTGGCCGAAGCTGACGCCGCCAAAATCGAAGCGGAGCTATCGGCGACGACGACGACGACGACGACGACGACGACGTTCAGCATCGACTTTTTCCGAATGATGGTCGGAAATGAGCGTTTGATTCGCTGGCTCCGTCACTGCTGCCTGGGAACTCCTGCTTTTGCTTCTGCTGATATGGCAGATCATCGTATCCAACAGCCAACTCGATTCATGGGGATGGTAAGGTACTTTTACCAGCAGACAGTCAGCCACGCGACCAGCATTAAAGTTGGCGTTTTTAGCCGCCTCAGCTCAGCTACGTTATCTTCTGCCTTTGCTGGTACCGCCGCAGCTCACGTTCCAGCTTCGATTCCTCGATACGCAGCCAACGCCGTCGACCCAGCCTGACGTCCCAGAGCAGCGTTATTTTTGCTGTTGTTGTCGTTAACGTAAAAACAAGCGGCGAA